GAAAAATGGGCTGAAATTTTAATGATAGCTGAGGAATCGCGAAAAATTTAAGAGATAACTGAGATTCTAGCACCGCCAATCCATTTAGATCCTCCAAAAACCATCCCTGTCGCAAGACCTTCATTTATAAGAACGGGTCTTGAAAACAAACGAAACCAAGAGCCGCATAGTTTGCCAAAAACAGATCAATACACAGAATTAGGTTTTATTAACGCCGAAACGAACGAGGAATGGGTCGTTTTAAGGCCATCTGCTCAATTTTGATGAGGTTCTACCAAAGTTTTGGCACATTTGACAGGCAGATGAACCCTTGCTTACTCTCAGGCACTAATGACAGTGGAAGAGAGTCGGTGGAAACTCTCATCCAACTCTTACCTTCGTCTCAATTTTCAAAGTCTGTCGTTGTTCTCGCTCGAACTACCCTAGGTACCAGAGGTTTTTTCTCGCGCGCGGCGGACGGAAATACTTCGTTTCGCTTCGACGGCAGAAGGCCGCCAGCACGAGCGCGGGTCACAATAGAGACATGACCGACACCGCAAACCGCGCAAGAAAAACCTCTGGCACCCAGGGTACGCTCGAACTGGTGTACCATAACAAAGCACTTCATACAATCAACTGTCGCTTTGCGGATGCTTCGTTATTACGAACACACGGTAGCTTAAGTCAGAAAAAAGAAACCTCCGGCGGTTACACAGACAAGAGATCTAGGTACGAGAGTATCTGTTATAATAGGAGTTGACTGCAGGTTGTAGACAGCTCGCCTTGTCGAATATGATCTGAAGTTCACAACGAGATTAGTAGATAACCTTAAAATTCTACAAAAACTACATTTCAATTCGCCGTTAGAAAGAGGGCGCCTGTTTAACAGAGTTGACTGAGGTGAGCAGTGTGCAATACGGCAGTTGACTGTACAGCGATGTAAACAGCTCCATTCCGAGCAAGGCCGTCAGATAATTTATTTACTAAGCTTGTTTTCTTTTAAAAGCTAAGATAAAGAATCAGCCCATTTGAACCGCCAAAACTCTCCAAGTTGCTTCCTAAATATTCGTCAAGAGCTCCTATCCACATCTTCACGGCGGTAGTCAGTTGACAGCTGTAAGAACAAGTCAGCGGGCAAATATACAGCTTATCTTTGGCTTAGACAATCGAACGTGCTCTGAGGAGCTTGCGCAAGCCAGGTAGGAGCGAAATTTGGTTACTTGTGTAAATTGATGGTGAACAAGTGGTCGTCGTTAAAGGGTGCTTTTTCCTCTGGGGTCTCTGAAAGAACAAGACAATAAAAAAACCGATTTCAACTTCCGCGTTTGATTCAAGTCATGCGAGTCAAAGTTACTCTTAATCCGGCACCAGCTATTTTTTGATGCGGTGTCCGATAGCAATTGACAGGATTCGTGGAACGCTATGCTCGCACTCTGCTTGTCCAGCTTCAGTTTTTAAAGCCCTGTCGCTCTTGGGACACAGCCTGATTCAAACTTCAATGTCACGAACTTACTCTCTCTGCATTCGGGTCCAGTCCATCCAGGTCTACACTTGCATTTTCCGGTCAGCGGATCACACTGGCCTCCCTGACCACAAGAGCAATCCAGCTTGCATCCGGGACCATACTTGTCACTACAGTCTGAATTTAAGTGAAGTTATTAGTAAATACTACGCAGTCAAATTTCTTATGGTAATTTAAACGGTCGCAAACTTGATATTTAAAAAACTTGCTATAGAAAGTGCTCACCTTGTCTACACCCGGGTCCATTCCTCCCTGACTGACACTCGCACCGTCCAGTCCTGGGGTCACACGAAGATGAGTTGGCGCATGTGCAGCGGTTCAAACAGTCGAAGCCATACCGTCCAAGAGGACACTCTGAAACGCAAAAGGAAGGAATTAAATTATCACCCACAATTAGCAAAGCAAAGTAATCTACGCGCGGAGTAAAATCTTGCGGTAAATGAATTTGAGGTTAACGGTAAATTTTCCATGTTTCCTAGAAATCTTTTTTCTCTACTTATTCCGTTATAAGAAAGTATCGTGGACACTGGCATTATTTCAGCCAATCCTGTGGCAGTAATAGAACATTACACACCTTTACTACAATCTCTTCCGGTCCACCCTTCTGTGCAGTAACATTCCCCGGATGCTGGGTTACATGACCCTCCATTCATACACCTACAATGGCTAGTACAATAGATCCCATACCGGCCCGGGGGACAGCCTAGTGTATACCAAATGAAATATTAGAACAAAGCAGACAGGAAGAAGGAAGAGAGGAAGGGATTGGCTTGAATTAAGGCATATGGAAGCAAAAACAACAATCAAAAGCAATGTTAAAATACAATACAAGAATTAAAAGGTTTCCTCACTATATTGACATCGGTCACCATACCACCCCGCAGAACAAGAACAGCAGCCAGTAATCTTATCACACCTCCCTCCGTTTTTACAGTTACACCTTTCTTCACAGTCCAGACCGTAGAACTTAGGAGAGCATTCTAAACGGAAGCAAAAGGAAAGCAAATGGACAGTGGATTAGTTACTAAACACTTACAAGGTTGCAAGCAAATAAATAAAAGGTCATATATATGAAGTGCGGACAAAGATGATCATCCGCACACCTTAAGCGAACTCATAACGTGACCAGCTCCCAGTTGGCTTGATAGCTCAGTTGGTAGAACACAGCACCAGTATCGCAGAGGCCATGGGTTCGAATCGAATCCAAGCCTGAATTTATTTCAGGCTTTAAATTCAATTGTCAGCTGCTTAAGTTATGTATACAACTGTGAGGATCATTCGTGTCTTTACAACCTACTCGTTTGTGCAATAATGCTCATCCCGGTTGAGTGGCACTCAGACTGGACCCGAACAATTCCATACTGATGACGCCACTGTAGAAAACCCCGCACTGGCTCTGATTGGTTAATGCTCGTTTTTGAAGTTTTACATCCAAGTAACGTTCAATCAGCGACTAACGTAGATGTCTGTAGAGTTACGTCATCAGAATGGAATCTTTTGGGTCATATTTTCACGCATGTCTTATTTAGGCTTGTTCAGGCTTATGTTGTGAAATAAAAAAAAAACCTTAAAGTCAAATTTTCTAACCTTTTTCACAGTTAGTCCCAGTGTATCCCAATCCACAATGGCATTTTCCATTCAGGTGATCGCAGATGGCGTCATTCTGGCAGGTGCATTCAAACTGGCAGTCTTGACCAAAAAACCCACTCGAACATTCTGTCAAACAACATTTATTCTTCAGTTGAACAAATGTAACATCATTCTACTATGCTTAAACTGTTCCCTTGTGGCTTCTCAGCTCAAATTGTTCAAGGTATCACAAGGTGGTATTCGCAAAAAGATCCATGATTCTCTCTTTTTTAATCAGGAGAACTGTGCATTGCGTTTACGTCATACGTCATATTTCGTCAATTTTCTTTTACCTCTCTCGCAGCGCACTCCCTGGTATCCCGGATGACAATGGCATTTCCCGTTCATGTGATCGCATAGGCCGTTATGGCAGGAGCATCTCTGCTGACAACCCTCACCAAAAGTTCCGGCTGGACAAACTGTTGAGAGAACATAATAAACTGAATATTTATTCTGTTATTACCACTGTAGTACCATACTGGAAGGTACGTAGAACACTGCAATAGCACCAAGCTGAAAGGACAAATTAAGCGGGAAAAAATGAACACTTTGGAACTCAGAGTCGAATAACACTTTGCTCTGTAATCGGGAAATGGTTTTCGTTTCATACAGGGTAATTGTTTGTTTTTACGTACAGACACACTAGAAGTCAAGTTTTCAAAACTTCCAAAAGATACTTAGCAGTGGTCTCATCTCAGGACACATGACAAAATATTGAAAGTTACAAAATGTTAACAGTCACTACCGGCCGGGCTCAATGGAGGCTTACCGTGTTCACACCTGCTTCCTATCCAGCCCACGTGACATCTACACTCTCCTGTCTTCTGGTCACACTCAGAATTTTCTGAGCAAGTGCAGTTGAACATACAGTTTCGGCCGTATGTACCTTTTGGGCAGCCTATTCGAGAGAAAAAAAGTAACGTTAGTTCTGTCATTCTACCCTTGTTTCTCTGTCTTCAATTAAACACTGCTTTTTTTTTTGGTAAAGTGAACAATGCGCTCCGGAAAACGTTTATGAATTTAATTCCGTATATGCGATAAGTGAAGCAGATGAATTAAGAATGTCGGTTTACTTAGTAAGGCTCGATTTCCGCTGCTCTGTTGGGTCCGGTTCCCGTAGGTAGGTCCTCCCTCAGAAGAATTTGGCGGGGAAGGGGAGACTCATTTTTCCTAACAGCCGCTGGTAATCAAACGTACTGTTTACTCACCCTGTCGGCAAGTTGTTCCTTGACGCCCGGCTTTACAGAAACACTGAGCTGTGTACGGGTCACATATTGCCGAGCGAGGACATCTGCAGCTAAGCGAACAGTTAACGCCATATTTGCCAATTGGACAAACTGAAAGGAAAAACAAATGGAAAAATTGTTGATTTTATAATTATAAAAAAATAAGCCTACATACCTTAAGCTCATAATTACCACGAAAACAAAAGGTCAAAAAGATAAAACTCCCTTTTCTCTCTAACCTATTTTGACAATAAGTAGCAGCGAAACGCTTTTGCACTGAGTTGAAAGCAACCGGACGAAAGACGAAAGCAGTGGAAATCGAGCCTAACTAAGCAAACCGACATTCTTAAGTTTGAAAACAACACTGGAGACGAATCATCGTAACATTTCGGTTTCGTAAAATTTAATGATAAACATTGTAGCTGTACATGTGCAAAGGTTTCACTAAATAACGTGAATTAACATTTCCTTGGCAGCCTCCCCGACGAACCCTGAAAAACATCACTTGCTCTAAACAGGCTTGAGCTAAGCGTCGCATACTGTAGATGAAGGTTTAAAATGTTTTAGTGGATCTCCTCCCTCCGGTCCTCGAACAGAATTTCTTATGTTGAGCAATAATGTTGTACTATCAAACCGTTAGGATTTGGCTCTAAATCCATTGCATGTTGGGGTTACGCAGGCTCGGTTACCATTGTTGCTGCAGTCTATTAAAAGTGTCATCACTGGATTGAAACAAGGCAAAATCGAATTCACTTTGCCTACCTCTCTTGCACTGGCCAGTCATAACATGACACATCTCAAATTTAGTGCAATTGCATTTCTTGGAGCAGTTCTCCCCAAAGAAACCTTTCCGGCACTCTGCAAAAAAATAACATCGGAATAAAAATATGAGAATAGTATACGTCACACGCAAATCGTCAACTTTGTATATTCGTGTAGTGGCATTGATTATCTCTCCTGATATGGCCCTGATATTTCAGCAACACCTGCTCTTGTGCAGTGAAACCTGACGCAGCCGAAAATAAAAAGATTAGTAATCTCTTGGGACGATAGATAAGAGAGTAGATATCGAACTGTGGAAAGATTGAAGATGGAAATGCCGAAAAAAAGAAAATTAAAAGGAGAAAAGCAAGTTAGATTTGAATAGCCTGTCGCCTCCAACTAACGTGTAACTGAAGTTTCAGAAAATATGAAACTATATAAGATTTGGACGCGAACTTGATTTTGAGTTAAATTTCTAACAATATGAAAAACTCGATTCCTTACTTTTGTTACACTGCTCTCCNCAACGAAGTTCAAACACAAAAGATTTAAGTCAAAGACTTGATTACCAGCCACAAAGGTACTCCAAAACAGACAAAAACCGTTCAAAATCGCAGAGAAAGTTTGGTGGAAATCAAGAAATTAACAACACCCCAACACTCAAACGGATTGATATGAAGAACGGCTGGTTCAATCCCGACGAAAACACACGAGAATTTAAGGTATATGATCAAAGAATAAAGCCTCCCATTAACAAGGCTTTTGGTAAGATATTTTAGAGAACAGAAGTCAACGTTTTAGCTTGATTTCGCTTGTCCCGATTTCAATATGGCGGTCCCGCCACTTAACCCGCAACAAAATTCAACAAGAACACACAATTGTGCGCACAGAAAACTACACACGGACAAAAATAATAACAAAGTGTACACAATTACACTCAATTAGCAAACAAAAGCGATATCAGGCCTAGCTTTTTGTCTTCCTTGACCTCTGTTGTCTTCCTTCGATGGCGTCCCAACGCTAATCTGAATGAGCCACGCGAAACGCTCACTTGTTGCTATGTGACGTCAAACTGACAGCGATCGGGACGATGAGTCGGTCAAGAATCAACAATGGAAAACTCCCCTCCCTTCCTCCTGCCTTCGACTAACGTGCAACTGAAGTTTCAAGAAATATGAATCCATATAAGATTTAGACGCGAACTTCATTTGAGTTAAATTTCTAACAATATAAAAAACTCGATTCCTTACTTTTGTTACACTGCTCTCCGTACAGGCCAGCGGGACATGTGCAATTACCGGTCACGTGATCACAGGAGGCTTCTTTAGGACAAGAACATGTGTTGGTACAATTTACACCATGGAACCTTTCAGGGCATTCCTGACAAAATTAAGATCAAAATAAGAACATACTGTAAAACCACCTTAAAACCCTCCTGAAGCCCCCTCCCCCTCAAGAACTTCAATTTCTAAATATGTCCCAACTTTCTTTATTCCCTATCCAAATGTTCTGTTTTTGTGTCATCTGGTACTTTATCTGGAGATGGGATCCCTATACGTGTAGTCTCCATTCTAATAAGTCTTTCTCTTTGGATGATTTTGATCTCGGTCCCATCCAACAGGATCAAAAGAAATAATCACACCTTGGAGATTTTGGAATACAACTTTTATGGTAAATAGGTTTTCATAAACGTTTATCTCTGCCTTGCTGGTACACTGTTTATCTAGCATTGCGCCGGGTGGGCAACGGAACTAAAGAGAGGCTTCCTTTTAGGCAAGCTAACACGTTTCTCTGAGTCACTTTTAAGTTATCTCGCCAAACTATGTTACGAGGAATGAAGCAGTCTTGGTTAAGTGTTTACTTTTCTCACATGTCTTGCCGGTCCAGCCAGGAGTGCAGATACATAATCCCGTCAGTGGGTCACAGCTCGCGTTGTTCTCACATTCACAATCTATAACAANAACTAAATCTGCGCAAGCAAACAACGAATTGATAACAACAAAAAAGCTAAATAACCAAGCAAATAAACTTTCCAACAACAAAAAAATGATTTAAACAGACAATGAAGCCAACAAACCATCTTAACAAACAGAAGATATTTTTACATGCAAGCCCCGAAATTTACTTTTAAAAGGCGTCATTCCTTCTATGGGCAATCTTCATCTCCCAGAGTTATTCAGCTCACGCAATTAAAGTCAATAAACGTTTTAGGTTTCTCTGCTTGTTCCAAACGTTGTTTATCACATATGAAAACAATTCGGTCCGCAGAGTTTCCACGCATAATTCTGGTACTTACTCTCTGTGCAGTATTTTCCTTGGTAGCCAGGCTTGCAATGACATGCGCCATTTTCAGGGTGGCACCTCTCAGTGTGATCAACTTGGCATTTGCACATCTCCTTGCACCCTGCTCCGAAGTACCCTGAGGGGCACTCTGTGAAGACAACAAATTCACTTTGATATTTAGTGTTCGTCAGAAGCCTCAAAGCAATGCTATGTTCTTTAGTTTAGCTGGACGAACATAATCTCGAAACAACGTAGAAAAAAAGAACGTGGTGTTATAACTAACATTTTTTCTATGCCTGGTTATTCCGCCTTTTAGCATAAGTACCCAGCTAAATGTTACTTGCACTGAGCTCTTAACGTAAAACGGTCATGTGGTACAAAATCAGTCCACCATGCTGAAGGGAAAAGAATGCGACAGCAAAGCGACTTCAACCAGTCTAGATTGACCATTCCCCGTTTGGATGTCTCATTGTAGTGCATTAGTAAGAATACGCTTTCCATCCAGCATGGTGAATGTTTATCCTCGTAACTGTTTTATGCGTAAGGTCCCTTGGCTTGGCATATTTGAGCTAAACCACCTGCCAACTTTTAGGAAAACCTAACAAAATGCTCGGGCCGGGGTAACCTTAGCAATCTGCATTGGAAATGTAACCGTCTAGTGGAATGACGATACAGGTACACGCTTCATGTTGCGCACATCCGAGTTGAGAACTGACTATTATGAGCCAGTCAGGCTTGAAACAGAATAATTATTACCTTTGGCGCAGCGGGCCCCAAAGAATCCTGGGTCACACTGACATGTTCCAGTCTCTGGGTGGCAAAGTTCCATGTGAGCGCATGCGCACTGCTCCTGACAAGCAGCTCCATAGAACCCAGGAGGACAATCTAGCGCGACATGCCGAAAATGGTTGGTTTATCAGTGATTTAACAACATCTTTAAATATAAACAAGAATCTGACNATGATTATAGCCTGTACACGGAGACGTATTTCTGGCTGTCGCTTGTTTACCCCGAAAATAACTTTTGGCGGAGACAAGCGACAGCGAGAAGTACATCTGCGTTCGCAGGATAAAATGGGTCTTCTGTTTTTTGCTATGTTGCCAAAGTGATGTCATATGCTCACTCAGATCTAAGTTTCAATAGTGATTTCCTTGAAAAATGTAGATTCTGTAGCATTGACTAATTTTTCATCACGGGTGCAGAGATATGATTGCCTTCTATAAACATTGGGACCTACATATGCCTTTTATGCCAGTGCACAGCAGTTACAGGTTCGAAACTTCATTGATCTTGTTTTTACTTACGATCATCACATAAAATTCCAGTCCAGCCAGGAGGGCAAACGCAATGTCCATTTCTGATGTCACACCGAGCGCCATTTTGACAATCGTCACATGTCAAACGACAGCCGGGGCCTATATACCCTGGGGGACAGGCTGAAACGGCAAAGGAAGTAGAGTGTCAATTCTTACTGCACCACCTCTTCCAAGAAATCTCACATCTCAAATACCATCCAAGTTAGGCGGCGCAACTAGAATGAGTCAATAACTTTGTTTAAGAGTCAAAGGGGTATTATTAGCTTTCGCAAAAACTTAATGGCGGGCACTGAACATAAGCAATGCCTAGTTAACACTACCTCGAACACCTGGTACGTAGGTTTGCAGTAAAGTATAGAAAGATGGGTTCCTGGTGGGATGAAGGGAAGACAATACATGTTGCAGCACTGTGGGGTAGCATAGAATGCTCTAAACTTGTTCTTTTACCTTGGAGTCCTTGTATCTCTTTTGGCTGCGTAACGCTTGAGTCTTCGAACGCATATGACCGCGCTGTTGGACGTTCAGTGAAAATGAGCAAAACTGTGAAAGGAGAAATAATATTCACAGAACATTACTAGTGTTATAACACTTGACTTTGTTCGGTT